TTATACGCTGGATCTCGTCCTGTTTCTTCAGCAAAATACAAAGACATGATGGACTTGCTTAATTATATACCCCCAATATACCACAGTTATTTGAAAAATTTGAAACAAAACACGATTTCCGAGGACTTAATCACTCCTATTGATGACGAAAATGAAATTGAACCGATGTATTTTCATATAAATTACTTATACTTATGTTTCAAAATGTACTAATTATTTTTGTATTTTATGAATATTAAAATAAAAAATACTTAAATCAAACCTTTATATTAAATATGTTCATGGTATAAATTATTATTATATATTTAATTTATTCAACAATTTTAGTAAATCACTGTCCTTTCAAAACATCACTTCGGTAAAATACGTCGGACAAAATTAATATATGTCAGTCATTTTTCTAAACTATTTATTTCGAAAGTGGCTTATGTCACTTTACCGTAATGAACAGTGGTGATTTTTTAATGTTTATACGAAATTATTTATACTGAGAAAAATATCAGTATCCTGAGATGACGAATACAAGTAAATCTTCTCGAAAGTTAGCATCCATGTTTTGAAACGTGTTAAAACGCAAACCCTTAAATATCTCGACTTCAAAACAAAGTGACTCATGCCACTTTCAAAATAAACGGCTCAAATCACTGAACTTTTAAGGAGATCAACGGTCGTTAAAGGGCCTGTTAAAAAACCGTCGGTAGGCAAAGCAATGAAATGTAAAACAGTGTGAAGATGAAAATAAAATCAACTTTTCAGGTCGCAGAGAGCTCTCTAACTCTCCGGGCGAACCGCGAAACAGGAAAAGCACGAGCGCGCCGAGAACTTGAGCGTTCCCACTCGACGACGACGGTGGGAACTCTCGAGTTTCGTTATAAATTTCTATAAACGCGATAGAAGTGGCCGAACATTCGTTATCGGGTTTACAAGCCTTTATTATCGACAGCTTAAACGGCCTCGATTGACCCGGCGAGGAATTATTCTGTTTCAGGATCGCGGCGAGCCGAGTAAAATGGAGGGGGGAGGTGGGGCGACGGATAAAGAGATATCAACGCGGATTTACTTGGTATATCCCGCCAGCAGCGGGAAACGCTGCTCGCAGCTCTCGATCCGGTCGTCTCAAGGATGGAAGGATCCTCCGCAGATATTCACCTTCGAATCCTGAAGAAACGAACGAGCCGGCGCAGCGCCGAACTCGATCGCCATAATTTACGACGTCGATGTACCGAGAGAACGTTATCATGCGATTCTGATCAGCGGCAGGAGACTTCGACCCCGCGATACAAAAAACCATTCCGAGATCTCTCGTCGAGGTCGTTACTCGAACTCGCCGAGTAATGAGGGACTATCGAAACCGAAGACAAAGTCGCCCAAGACTCGTTGCGCGTGTTTTCTGCGCTGATCATTCATTAGTTAACGGCGCGATTCGACGGGAACCGCGAGCAAGGGAGCCGCCGGAAAACGATGCCGCATTCCCGTGGAATTCGTTCGATTGACCAGACTCGCGTTTCTTTGCTCGTTCGCTTCTTTCTTGCAGCCGCTTTCATTTAGTGTCTTGATATCAACGTCTATGTAACAACGCGATGACCTCATCGCGGAAGTTTGCGGAGGTGTGACGCGTTCAACGAATATGCAAATTGTACGCTGGAAGCATGGAACGTTTACAACATATACAGAAATGCACGCTACGGCGCGGAAGACTTTTTTCATATTTTTACGGTAGGTACAGGGTCCCGCGAAACTGATCACGCACTATTTAGAACGGGAAAACTTGATCAAAGTTGTAGATCTTTGAAATGTTAGAGACGCCAGTTCACTAGACAACGTCGACAAATTTCTTTTTAAAAGCTTCAATCACTTGGAAAATAATCACGTTTTTTAAAACTATTTTTATCTGCGTCTTCGATTATACGTACTGTATGTATATTATATACATATATATTATATACATACAGTGTGTATAACCGAATTAATTTCTGAACAAATTCTGAGTATAAAAAGATTATTTTTTATAATTTGCGAAATATGTAGAACATAGGTACAATCTCTTAATAATTAATAATAATAATACTTACAATAATTACTTATAATCATTTTTGGACGATATATATCG